GTCACTGCACATCCTGCCAGAGTATGTTATATAGACAGGATTCAGTCACTGTTCATCCTGCCAGAGTATGTTTTATAGGCAGGATTTAGTCACTGCACATCCTGTCAGAGTATGTTATATAGACAGGATTTATAAAGCAGGAATGAGTCACTGCACATCCTGCCAGAGTATGTAATATAGACAGGACTCAGTCACTGTACATCCTGTCAGAGTATGTTATATAGGTAGGACTCAGTCACTGTTTATCCTGTCAGAGTATGTTATATAGGCAGGATTTAGTCACTGCACATCCTGTCAGAGTATGTAATATAGACAGGACTCAGTCACTGCACATCCTGCCAGAGTATGTTATATAGGCCGGACTCAGTCACTGTACATCCTGTCAGAGTATGTTATACAGACAGGACTCAGTCACTGCACATCCTGCCAGAGTATGTTATATAGACAGGATTCAGTCACTGCACATCTTGCCAGAGTATGTTATATAGGCAGGATTCAGTCACTGCACATCCTGCCAGAGTATGTTATATAGACAGGATTCAGTCACTGCACATCCTGCCAGAGTATGTTATATAGGCAGGATTCAGTCACTGCACATCCTGCCAGAGTATGTTATATAGACAGGATTCAGTCACTGTTCATCCTGCCAGAGTATGTTTTATAGGCAGGATTTAGTCACTGCACATCCTGTCAGAGTATGTTATATAGACAGGATTTATAAAGCAGGAATGAGTCACTGCACATCCTGCCAGAGTATGTAATATAGACAGGACTCAGTCACTGTACATCCTGTCAGAGTATGTTATATAGGTAGGACTCAGTCACTGTTTATCCTGTCAGAGTATGTTATATAGGCAGGATTTAGTCACTGCACATCCTGTCAGAGTATGTAATATAGACAGGACTCAGTCACTGCACATCCTGCCAGAGTATGTTATATAGGCCGGACTCAGTCACTGTACATCCTGTCAGAGTATGTTATACAGACAGGACTCAGTCACTGCACATCCTGCCAGAGTATGTTATATAGACAGGATTCAGTCACTGCACATCTTGCCAGAGTATGTTATATAGGCAGGATTCAGTCACTGCACATCCTGCCAGAGTATGTTATATAGACAGGATTCAGTCACTGCACATCCTGCCAGAGTATGTTATATAGGCAGGATTCAGTCACTGCACATCCTGCCAGAGTATGTTATATAGACAGGATTCAGTCACTGTTCATCCTGCCAGAGTATGTTTTATAGGCAGGATTTAGTCACTGCACATCCTGTCAGAGTATGTTATATAGACAGGATTTATAAAGCAGGAATGAGTCACTGCACATCCTGCCAGAGTATGTAATATAGACAGGACTCAGTCACTGTACATCCTGTCAGAGTATGTTATATAGGTAGGACTCAGTCACTGTTTATCCTGTCAGAGTATGTTATATAGGCAGGATTTAGTCACTGCACATCCTGTCAGAGTATGTAATATAGACAGGACTCAGTCACTGCACATCCTGCCAGAGTATGTTATATAGGCCGGACTCAGTCACTGTACATCCTGTCAGAGTATGTTATACAGACAGGACTCAGTCACTGCACATCCTGCCAGAGTATGTTATATAGACAGGATTCAGTCACTGCACATCTTGCCAGAGTATGTTATATAGGCAGGATTCAGTCACTGCACATCCTGCCAGAGTATGTTATATAGACAGGATTCAGTCACTGCACATCCTGCCAGAGTATGTTATATAGGCAGGATTCAGTCACTGCACATCCTGCCAGAGTATGTTATATAGACAGGATTCAGTCACTGTTCATCCTGCCAGAGTATGTTTTATAGGCAGGATTTAGTCACTGCACATCCTGTCAGAGTATGTTATATAGACAGGATTTATAAAGCAGGAATGAGTCACTGCACATCCTGCCAGAGTATGTAATATAGACAGGACTCAGTCACTGTACATCCTGTCAGAGTATGTTATATAGGTAGGACTCAGTCACTGTTTATCCTGTCAGAGTATGTTATATAGGCAGGATTTAGTCACTGCACATCCTGTCAGAGTATGTTATACAGACAGGACCTAGTCACTGCACATCCTGTCAGAGTATGTCATATAGACAGGATTTATAAAGCAGGAATAAGTCACTGCATATACAACCAGAGTCAGTGCTGGGATCAGCCCAAGGGACGGTCTGTTGCTTGTGATCTTCTACTCGCCCTGTTGATCCAGTAATGTTTATTTAACACATAAGTGAGTACGAGGTCACAGTTGACTACGTCCTATAAATGGGCGTCCAGGTCAGCCCCGACTCCCGTGTGCGACATACACTTGCAGTCGGAAAGCGCACGTTAAATCTCCAATATAAGTAAGTAAGTAAGTAAGTAAGTAAGTAGCCCCGAGGGATTACTATTATACCATTTCCTAGATTGGACCCGGTAATTTGTTTTTTAGATGATTACTTTGGGGAGACATTAGCACTGGTCATGTGAAACGAGGTGTTCTGTCGACACTGATTACCAAATAATTATTATAGACCATTTATATTGAGCATATTTCCACACCAGACAGGGGCATGCTAAAAGCGCTATTATAATCCCGGTCACTGGATCAGCGAGCACTCACAAATCATTTTCAGCTCCCTGGGGAGTATACAACCTAAGCTGCCTGTTATTTGCTTAGAAGGTTGACAACCAGATTGATAGCTCATCCTACCGGGGACCCTGCTGGATGAACAGAAGCACATTTCGAACAAAGGCACTTGCCCAAGGAGATAGCAAATGTTCTACATGTACTTCAGTGTGGAGCAGGACCGAAGTCCTAGAAAGTCTCAGGAGCCAAGCTGCCGAAATGCGGTCGCCCATCTAAGGACTCTCCGCGACCGACGTTGCTAAACTTCACCTGATTTGCGATCTTTGCGTTGTGCACAGGACCACGTGCCACCATGGTTACCCTTGGATACAAACGTAACAATTCTGCCATTTCCCAGTGAAGGTGTGCACCGGTGGCCTGTCGTCTTAGGCGCCACAATTAGCTGTGCAGAGTCGCGTCCCTTGGGCACACCAGAAACCTTGGGTTCGAATCCCGGTTCACCCCGATTATGTTTCTTGCAATGAGTGAGTGAGTATGGTTTTACGCCGCTATTTCGCAATATTCCAGCAATATCACGGCGAGCGAACGCTTTAACCACTAGGCTACCCGACCGCCCCTGTTTCTTGCAAAGCGGATACAGCATTTTTAAAAGGGAGGGGTGCAAAATTTCAAAATTTAGTTTTCAAAAGGGGGGTCCGGCGACATGAAATATTATTCATTCCCTCACTTTTCACCGTTTTATATTCGACTTGTTCCCCGATTAGTTACATCAACATCTGTGTGGAGTGGCACGGGTGGCCCAGTCGTCTAAGGCGCCGCGATTCGCTGTGCAGAGTTGCGTCCCTTGGGCATGCCAGAAACCTATGATTGTGGGTTCGAATCCGGGTTCGCCCCAATTATGTTTCTAGGTTTGTCAGCACCATACCCGTGCTCGTGGGTTTCACCGAAGTGGTAAACGTCTGAGACCTGCAACGCTTCGGGCTTTCCTCCCCCATTAAGCTGACACGCCCTGATATGACTGGAATACTGTTATAAGCTGCGTTAAACCAAACTCACTCACTCTGTGTGGAAATCACCACTCAGAATTTTCAAGAACATCTTAACCCTAAAGCAAATCACACCCAAATCATCCCAAATTTCCTAAAAAATTAAAGGGACCGACTGTAATTCATCCACTTTTTAAGTTACGTCATCATGTACTGACGTTCTTTTTGTTGTTCAAATTACGTCCCCCGTGATCTATATATCATTGGTAACATCGTTTTTTCATGACTGTCAAGGAAGATGGCCAAGTCTCGCGTCGAGGGGAATGTCCGAGTAACTCTCCATTCCTTAAAAATAATGGCGCAGATGCCCCGCAGGTGCGAGGCCCATTATTTTATGGAATGCAGAGTTAGGAGGATATCCCCCTACTAAAAACACATTCCTAATTTTACACTGTGACAAAACATACTCATGTGGAAAAAAATTGGAAAATAAACCAGAACTCTTTGTAGACCGTATGTATACTGCGCTGAGTCACCCTTGCGTGATGCTCGAGTGAGTGAGTGAGTTAGTATGGTTTTACGCCGCTTATGGCAATATTCCAGCAATATCACGGCGGGGGACACCAGAAATGGGCTTCACACATTGTACCCATGTCGGGAATCGAACCCGGGTCTTCGGCGTGACGAGCGAACGCTTTAACCACTAGGCTACCCCACCGCCCCGCGTGATGCACGAGGTACACGGCTCTTCATAGTTTCATGGGGCCCTAAACTTGTATTGTATAAATCACTGTCACGTTGAACATACATACAGGCGGGGAATATATGAAATATAGATATATACATGTATGTTTACCTGATATAGTTTTCTTGTCAAAGGTTTATCTAATTGCTTTAAATATGAACATTGTTATGGGTAACCCGCTGTAACAATATCATGTACATATTCATTTAGCCTTTAGGACCATTCAACTATTTGAAAATAGTTAATAGTTTATTTCATCCCGTAATGTCTTGTGTCGCCGTAGCCTTGGTCGACAGTTTTACGTTCTCAAATCAAAGCATGCTGGCTTGGACCCCGCTGGCGACGCATGTTTTCGACAAAATTCAAAATCATTTCCTTGTCAATATATATATGAAGTGTAAATTAATTGAAATGTAGTTGCAAGATAATGTATGGTTGACAAAGAAACTCTCCATTCCAGAAAAATAATGGAGCGTTTAAACAACAGAATGACGTCACACATGTGTTTCAATTTGGTTTTAATAGCTACTAAATATGGAACATAGTCTTTTCACAAAATGTTGCGGAGGCTGTCATTTTTAGTTTTTCAACATGAAAACTGAAATTTCACGCGTTTTCCTCACGCGGTGTCAGTGTGGTTAACAAGTGTACGTGATCTAGAAATCTGAAGTAGTCAACTCACCATAAGTACCACAGCGCGTACCAGCAGTTCTCGCCACCGTCCTCAGTGTCGGAACACTGTCCATCACACTGCAATACAGAAGAAAACACTCATTGGACAAACACATCGGACATAACATTCATTTATAAGCTACACGTGAAGATCCGGGTTAGAATTGATCTTCAACAACCTATGCTCGTCGTAAGAGGCGACTAACGGGATCGGGTGATAAGGCTCGCTGACGTGGTGGATGCATGTCATCGTATCCAAATTGCGTGGACCGATGCTCATGATGCATTACTGAATCACTGGATTGTCTGGTCCAGACTCGATTTATTACAGACCGTCGTTATATAAAAAAATATAATAATAATAACAACAACAACAACAACAACAACAACAATAATAATAGTATGCATTTGTATAGCGCAGCATTCACTGTGCCTAAGTGCTCTATATACCTGGACTATTGCTGAGTGCGACGTTAAACAACAAACAAACAATTATTAATGGTCAAATGTCAGTCAAGATTTGCAGGTAAAGTGGTGCCTGAACCATATAGAAGGAATACTTTTGACGCATCCATTCATGTCACGTTTTGAAAATGCCATGTTTTGGATTATTTTGTTACGCGGACAAACGACACAAATGCACCGTGGCGATATTTTCGTATTTTTTTCGGATTGAACGTATCCATTTCGTTTCTCTTTCGTAATTTAATTGTTATAGAATTCATCTTCATATAATATGTATATTCCACAACATTACGACTAACTTATGACATTTTAAAATTTCTAAGCTTATCGATCTAAAATAACACGAATAGGTTGCACGCCAAGTTTTGTCGTGCTTCGGATGGAACACCAGGCCACTATGTGATTCAATTTGCACGCTAGGTTTATATGACAATTCAGGTTGCACTCGGAGTTTATATGGTCTATTTACGTTGCAAACCAAATCTGTTGGGTGGGTGGGTGGGGGTGGGGGGAGATTCAGATCATCCGTCCAGTGCATATATTCATAGTAGTCATATTCTAGTTGCACACCAGGTCTACGGGAGGATTTGAGTTGCACACCGAGTCCATATAAATTATTCAAATTGCAAACCATGTGCAAACACCGAGTCAATATAGGAATTAGCAACAGGCTGCGCACCGAGTCTATATGTACATGTAGGTTGCACACCGAGTCTATATAGGTCTGCAGGTTGCGCACAGAGTCTATATAGGAATGCAGGTTGCACACCGAGTCTATATAGGTCTGCAGGTTGCACACCGAGTCTATATAGGCAGGTAGGTTGCACACCGAGTCTATATAGGTCTGCAGGTTGCACACCGAGTCTATATATGCAGGTAGGTTGCACACCGAGTCTATATAGGAATGTAGGTTGCGCATCGAGTCTATATAGGTCTGCAGGTTGCGCACCGAGTCTATATAGGAATGCAGGTTGCACACCGAGTCTATATAGGAATGTAGGTTGCGCACCGAGTCTATATGTACATGTAGGTTGCACAAAGTCCATATAGGAATGAAGGTTGCACATCAAGTCCATATAGAAATGTAGGTTGCACACCGAGTCTATATAGGAATGCAGGTCCACACAGTATATATAGGAATGTTGGTTGAACACAGTGTCTATATACGGATGTAGGTTGCACACTGAGTCTATATAGGAATGTAGGTTGCACACCGAGTCTATATAGGAATGTAGGTTGCACACCGAGTCTATATAGGCAGGTAGGTTGAACACCGAGTCAATATGGGAATGTCCTTTATTTAAATCAGCTAGAAACGAATTGATGCACTCACTATTGTTAATTGTGAAAGATACCTGTGATGTAAAGATTGACCTGATGCTAGTTGGAAATGCAATTTTACCTAATCATGTAAACGAAAACATGTACATACATATATAAAGAAAACAAAAAGGTTTGAGTGAGCAGTGTGAATGTATATACGTTTCTCTATCTATTTTCTTTCCTTTCTATCATTTGATTTATTAACTGTAAATAAGCATACATGTAAATCTATGGGAGAGGGCGTTCTAAGTTGTGATAACTTGTGCCCAATCCTTGTCATGAGAATAAAATATGTTTAAACTAAACTAATAGGAATGTAGGCTGCACACCGAGTCTATATAGGAAAGTTGGTTTGGCACGGAGCACGCCAACCCCATATCGGGCTATTCTAGTTGTACACCATTTCTATGGGGTATTAAGTTGCACACGGAATCTATATATCAATTTAGGTTACACGTCAAGTCGATGTGATGATTCAGGTTGCAAACCAGGTCTATTGAGGTAATTCATTTTGCACCTTTTGACAACACCAGCACGTCTAGTAATAACTTGCCGCCTCGGTGGTCTTGTGGTAGAGCGTCCGCCCGGAGAGCGGAAGGTCCGGGGTTCGATCCCCGGCCGCGTCATACCAAAAGACGTTAAAAGATGGTACTTGTTGTTACGGTTATCTCCCAAAACCCCTACATCCCATTTCCCCTACAACCCAGTTCCCCTACAATTAGTTAAAACAACACGCGGCATTTACCTGTCTGGCATTATGAACTCACCTAAAGGAGAGATTAAGGTCTGGAGTAGAGGTAGTAGAAATGAAAGGCTTTAGGGGATTAGGGGACTTAAAGGAAAGTTAAAAAAAAAAAATTAATGTAAGTGTAATGAAAGATGCCTGTATGATGAGAAGACAATTTTTAGAAATTACAAAAAACAATAGGAAGAAACAATTATTACACTGAGAAACTGAGATGAGACGATTTACAGTTGAGATGAAAAATGAACATTTTGTTATAATGTATTATGAATTTTGAAAATGAACATTTTATTATAATGCATTATGAATTTTGAAAAATGAACCTTTTATTATAATGTATTATGAATTTTGAAAAATGAACCTTTTATTATAATGTATTATGAATTTTGAATAATATCGTAATCGTAATTAAATATTTATCTCAATCTATTCGAGTTTCTTGGGTTGTTCCATTGTATGAAATAGGTAACAGACTAGGGATTAGCAGTGCCATGGACCGTGAACTTTGTTGTCTTAAGCTGTAGGGGAAATGGGATGTAGGGGTTTTGGGAGGTTACCGTTGTTACCCTGTCTGGCGCTCGACATTAAGGGGCTAAAACAAGGACTGGTCGGCTCGGAGTCAGTATACTGTGTCTGAGCAGGGTATTCATGTTAAACTGCGGCATGGTATCTCAGTGTGCTAGCACTATAAATCGGCATCAGTCCTGACTAGTACAAGCAGCCACACACACACACACGTGCATGCACGTCCGTATATAAGTGCAATAATCTTGGACGCGACGTTAAACCCAATTTCACCTCACCTCTAGTAATAACTGATACAACAATTCACTTCCGATCGTTCCTTTTCCCACAACACTAATCTGGATACATTTTAGTAAGACCGTATGTTTGAGGAAGCGAGGAAGACCATGTATACTGCGACCACTGGACATGTGAGATGGGTTCATCTGTATAGTTATATGATCATGGAGTGTCAGTTTCAAAAACGGAATGACGTATCCGAAGGCTGAATAGACACCATATAAATCAATAGGGTGTGTCGTTACAGACATTCGTCAGGATTTTGTTTGAACACTGTAACTGTAACCATCATCTCGCATTTCTATGTGAAATTGGACTTGGTTGTTTTGTGATAGACAATGACATGGCACTATTCCCTGACTGCTCTCGAAGTGAGGGAGTGAGTTTGATTTTACGCCGCTTTTAGCGATATTCCAACAACATCACGGCGGGGGACACCAGAAATTGGCTTCACACATTGTACCCATGTCGGGAATCGAACCCGGGTCTTTGGCGTGACGAGCGAACGCTTTAAAAACTAGGCTACCCGACACTGCTCTCTAAGAATACTGACGGCAAATATATCTCAGGCAAAAACAGGAACAGGTTTGTTTCAGGTATTATAGCCCTTAAAAGGGCACGGGTGGCCCAGTCGCACAAGGCGCCGCAATACTCACAGAGTTGCATCCCTTTAGCCTGCCAGAAACATATGATCTAGGTTCGAATATCTGTTGGTTTGTCTGCTCCATGCTCGTGGGTTTCACCAAAGTGGTTAACGTCTGAGACCTGCATCAGCTGGGGATTTCCTGACACAGTAAACTGACACGGCGTGATATAACTTGAATATTGCTCAAAGCGACGTTAGACCCAACTCACTCACTCAACACACATGGTCGGTAAAGGGTATATAAATCTATTTTTTGGACATTTTAGCTTTGCTGAATCGTTCCTTACGGCTGATTACATTTGTGATAAAGGGTTCGGGGTCGAGGTGGTTTGTTGGTGTGTGTCTTGCATCGAGAACCCCACAAACATCGATGTACAATAGGTCAATAGACCTTCCTACACGCGAAGATCCGGAGTAGAATAGGTCTTCAGCAACCCATACTTGCCGTAAAAGGCGACAATGCTTGTCGTAAGAGGCGACGAACGGGGTCGGATGCTCAGGCTCGCTGACTTGGTTGGTGCATGTCATCGTATCCAAATTGCGTGGATCGATGCTCATGATGTCAATCACTGGATTGTCTGGTCCAGACTCGATTATTTACAGACCGCCGTCACATAGCTGGAACATTGGTGAGTGCGGCGTTAAACAGCAAACAAACAACAATAGACCTTCACGCACCGACAATCTTATTGTTGCTACAAACATAATCAGAGAACAAAGTCAACCAAACTAGTGTACGACCTTGGGTATATGTGGGACTATATATCACCGCTTTGCTGCTGGCGCGAATATCCATTCTCGTGCTATGGTTTAATGTAAGCCTGTGTCAATACAGTACCAACAAGCACAAGGCATTCACTCATATCGGGTAACCTTGTTGGCAGGGAAACACGGGAGGTCAGTCGTCTAAGGCAATTCACTATGTGGAGTTGCGTGTCTTGGGCACTCTAGAAACCTTTGGTCGTGTGTTCGAATCCCGGTTCGTCCCGATAATGTTTCATAATGTGCTCGAGGGTTTCACCAAAGTGGTAAAAGTCTGAGACCTGCATTAAACGGGCTTTCCTCCCACATCAAGCTGACACGTCGTAATATTAC